ACCTGACTCAGAGTTTGAGAAAACAGAGCAGTTTGTAAATCAAGATATCTGTTATGTATGTGATAAAACAATACATTATTCAATGGTACTATTTTGTGTCCTATGTGGAAGAATACCAAGTGTGGTATGAGCGTATTGATCTCATGTTGTTCTGAGGCAAAACTGGCTAATAAACTAAGTCTCGTTCCACTGAGGGTCTGTTGAATCATAGTTTGTTAAGTTATGAGAAGGAATATAACAAATTGGCGACGAGATTTAAACGGATCCCCGATGTGCATGTAACGACAGAGAGGGGGAAGAACCTCGGAAAGTGACAAAAAGACAAGAAATGAGAACAGAAAAACTCGCCGTCGGGAATGCTAATGTGACTTCCTAGCTAACAAGCTACAGAGACAACGTGAGTAACGAACACTACACGGAAAATGTCGGGAGGCGTTGGACAAATGAACATTTTTGAAGACGGCACAGAGGACTGGACAACATATGTGGAACGAGTTGAGCAGTACTGTCTAGCTAACAAAGTAGAGGATGAGAGGAAAGTCGCTGTGCTACTGAGCGTAATGGGAGCGAAAACGTATAACTTGCTACGCAGCCTCATCACACCAGCCAAACCAGTAGACAAAAGTTTCAGGGAGATCACAGAGGTTCTCCAAAAACATTTCCAACCGAAGCTACTGGTCATAGCTGAACGATTCCGATTTCATAAACGAAATCAATCAAAAACCGAGTCCACTTCGACGTACATCGCGGAGCTTCGGCGGCTGTCGGAGCACTGTCAGTTCGGGGAGGGGCTGTCAGATGCGCTGAGAGACCGTTTTGTCTGCGGGCTGCACAATGAAAGCACACAGAAACGACTCCTCACAGAGGATAATCTGACATTGCATCGCGCATTAGAAATTGCTATATCTATGGAAACTGCAGCAAAAGATGCGGGAGAACTTCAGGGAAAATACATAGAACCGTGCGCTGTCAATAAAATGCGTGCGCAGCCTAATGATAAATTACAGACCTGTTACAGATGCGGCAAGAAGTCACATGACGCTGCTAATTGTTGGTTTAAGAATAAAGAATGTCTCCAATGCAACAAAAATGGACATATACAGAAAATGTGCAGATCAAAACAATATAAGAAAAACAAAATGTGGAAAAAAGACAGGAAACTGCATGAAGTAAATGAGACAGACTCAAATTCCTCCCAGGAGAATTTAGCATGCCTTGAGCTGCACACAATACAAGAAAAGGAGAAATATAAGGGGGCAATATGGCTCACACCTAAAGTACAAGGGGTTAAGTTAAAGATGGAACTGGATACTGGGTCAGCCCTCTCACTGATCTCATATGAAGATTACAGAGACAAGTTTCCAAACCTGAAACTAAAGCACACCTCGGTGAAACTAAAGACTTACATGGGTGAAAGAATAACCCCTTTAGGAAAACTAAAAGTGAAAGTGGAATATGAGAAAAAGAAATGCAACCTTGAACTTTATGTTCTGCAAAATGGCGGTGCACCATTATTTGGACGTGACTGGTTAAAACACATCCAACTCAACTGGAATGAAATAAAGTTCATGAGACTGGCACCAGACCTGAGTACAAGTTCTGTGGAGGACAGACTAAAACAGATACTTGAGGAACATGCTCCAGTGTTCAAGGAAGGCATTGGCACTCTGAAAAATATTAAAGCACAGGTCATACTGGAAGACGGCGCAAAACCCAGATTTCACAAAGCACGCCCTGTACCATATGCTGCACGTCCCAAAGTCGAAGCAGAGCTTCAACGCTTGGAGGAGCAAGGAATACTCACCAAGGTGGAATGGTCAGACTGGGCTACACCAATAGTGGCAGTGAGCAAGAAAACAGGTGACAGTGTGAGAATCTGTGGTGACTTTAAGGTCTCAGTGAATCCAGTACTCCGCGTTGATCAGTACCCACTTCCGCGGATAGAAGACATATTCACAGCAGTGGCAGGTGGCAAACATTTTTCAAAAATCGATCTCGCCCAAGCTTATCTACAGATGGAAGTAGAAGAGACATCCAAGAAATATCTAGTGATAAATACTCAAAGGCCTATTCCAGTATAACCGACTGGTATTTGGTATCACCAGTGCTCCAGCAGTATGGCAGCGTGCCATGGATCAGGTTCTGCAGGGCATTCCAGGAACACAATGTTTTCTGGATGACATTATTGTCACAGGTGTCGATGACGAAACCCATTTAGCTAACCTCGCAGAAGTCCTGGCCAGGCTAGAAAAATATGGACTGAGAGCAAACAAAAACAAATGTGAGTTTTTCAAAGATGCCATTGAGTATTGTGGACATCAGATTGACAGGCATGGACTCCACAAAACCAAAGACAAAGTCGAAGCAGTCTTGAAGGCACCAGAGCCTAAAAATGTTATTGAGCTACACTCATTCTTGGGCTTAATTAATTATTATCAGAAGTTTCTACCAAACCTGTCAACAGTTCTCCACCCACTATACACGCTGCTGCAACACAATGTCAAGTAGAACTGGACAAAAGACTGTAAAAAGGCATTTAATAGTGCTAAGCAGCTCATTACATCAGAGGAGGTGCTAACACATTTTGACCCAAATCTTCCTCTGCGCCTTGCATGTGATGCCTCTCCATACGGCATCGGTGCTGTGCTATCTCACAAAATGCCTGATGGAGTGGAACGACCAATCGCTTTTGCCTCAAGGTCCCTAAATGCAGCCGAGCGTAATTATGCGCAGATAGAGAAGCGCTAAGTCTGGTGTGGGGAGTGAAGAAGTTCAATCAATATTTACATGGAAGACACTTCACCTTGATCACAGACCACTGACCCTTGGTGTCTATCTTTAACCCTCAGAAAGGTGTACCAACCATGGCTGCAGCACGGTTACAGCGATGGGCTTTGTTCCTTGGCTCACACACCTACAAAATTGAATTTAAAGGGACAAAACTGCATGGAAATACGGATGGACTTTCACGCCTTCCACAAACTCAAACCACTGAAGAAACTACTGATCCAGCAACTGTGTTTCACGTTGCACAAATGGAACCTCTGCCTGTGACAAGTGCTCAGGTAAAAAGAGAAACAAGTCGAGAGTATATGATTTTACTGTGAATGGCTGGCCGTCCTCCAGTGACACTCAGTTCTCTGCATACTCCAGCCGCAAAGACCAGCTATCAGTTTGCCAAGGATGTGTCATGTGGGGAACTCGTGTCATAATACCACCCCTACTACGTAAAAGGGTGTTGAGTTCACTCCATGATGGACATTTGGGTGTAGTCAAGATGAAAAGTCTTGCTAGGAGCTATGTTTGGTGGCCAGGCATAGACTGGGAAATAGAGAACCTGGCTAAATCCTGCACTGGTTGCCAGCAGACACTACGCCAGCCACAGACAGCACCTGTACACACGTGGGAGTGGCCATCCACCCCCTGGCAACGCATCCATATAGACTATGCTGGACCATTTATGGACCAAATGTTTCTGATTGTGGTTGATGCTCACTCAAAGTGGCCAGAAGTTTTTCCTGTAAAGCATGCAACAACGGCCAGCACAATCAACATTCTTCGGTCACTGTTTGCCCGCACAGGTCTGCCTCAACAGCTCGTCAGTGATAATGGCCGTCAGTTCACTGGAGAGGAGTTCCAGGGTTTTCTTAAGAACAACGGTGTACGACATATCACTTCAGCTCCTTATCACCCCGCAACGAACGGACAAGCTGAACGGTTCATTCAAGAGATCCATGAAGGCAAGCCGGTCAGAGGGGAGACCTCTGCAATTGAAAATCGACAACTTCTTATTGGCTTACAGAAACACCATTCATGCAACAACCGGACAAACACCGTCTATGCTCTTCATGGGACGAAATCTAAGGTCTCGTTTTGATTTGTTGAAACCAGACATTCGCAAGAATGTTGAGGACAAACAGCCTTCCTTGATGGAAACAAGAAGGAATAAAACCAGATCATTTGACATTGGACAAAAAGTTCTCACCAAAGACTACAGATGCCCAAGTCAGAAATGGCAGTCTGGCACAATTCTGTCTCAGACAGGACCTCTGACGTACAACGTAAATGTTGGAGACAACTCAGTCTGGCGTAGACATTTTGATCAGATTCTAGATGTGGACACCCACAAAAGTCTAGAGCAACCTGAGGACACATCTACATCTCAAGATCCAGAAGAGTTTATCTTTACTACATCTTCTGGGGTTCAGGATTCACCTGAAACCACCAGTGCGCCAACAGCTGAACCTTTTACACAGAGTACCACAGACTCTGGTCAAACATGCAGACGTTATCCTGAGAGAAATCGCAGAGCACCTCAGAGACTGAATTTGTAGCTTCATTTATAAAGAAGCAGTTTAAATGTTTAAGAGTAAATACCTGCTTAGCGTTGCAAATATCTGAATAGGTGTCATGTTCTGTTTGAGGAAATTTATTGGGTTACCACATTCAGCTAAATCTATTCTTTGTTCGTCAAAGCTGGATGGGAGGAACTGTTATGTATGTGATAAAACAATACATTATTCAATGGTACTATTTTGTGTCCTATGTGGAAGAATACCAAGTGTGGTATGAGCGTATTGATCGCATGTTGTTCTGAGGCAAAAATGGCTAATAAACTAAGTCTCGTTCCACTGAGGTTCTGTTGAATCATAGTTTGTTAAGTTATGAGAAGGAACATAACA